CACCTGTCCTGCTGAGGGGCACCTAGGAGGCCACATACAGCCTTACAGGCCCCTGGGTGCCCCAGCTCCCATGTATGTGCATGCCTGTGGGTGCTCACACTTAGATACACCCGTGCTCACATGTGCGCTGTGGAGACCTGGGCTCAGACACACCCAGGAGATCCTGGGCGGCCTCTCGGTCTCCCATGTGCCAGGGAGGCTGCGTCCACTGTGCTTTCTCCTTTGCTGATTCAGCAACTGCCTCAGCTCTGGAGAAATAATCTTGTCCTGCCCGCCTGCCCGCCTGCCCGCCTGCCCGCCTGCCAGGACCTAGACCCAGCTCAATAAATGAGAAAGGAACCTTACTATAGGAAATGCCAGGACTTGGGCACCGCTGCAGTTTCCTGGAGCCCTCATAGCTGATGCCAGGGGCTCTCAGAGAGAAGGGTGCGTGTGTGCGTGTGTGTGTGTGCACGTGTGCTTTCTACTTACTAGCTATGTGACCATGGGGCAATTACTTAACCCCCTTATGCCTCAGTTTCCTCACTTAGTTATACATAATAGTTCTTAAGGTTTGCTCTTAGGATGAATTAAGGATTATACGTGTCTCTTGTTTAATAAAGCGCTCTATCAACACTGAATGCTATTATCCCTAGTTCCACATTCATCCATCTTCCTGCTGTTGAAAACACACACACACACACACACACACACACACACACACACACACCCTGGACGAGGGAATGCTCACTGTCTGGCCTTTCATTTCAAAGGCTGTTCCCCACCCCCCATGGCTTTCAAAAATACCTCGATGTCGGTTTCTTTTTTTAAGCCTCACAAAACCTGGCTGGTGGGAGGCCGACATGATCGGTCGCACTACAGATGTAAAGCTAAAGGCGCACAAGGGTCACCCCGTGTGCCTGCAGTGCACCTCCAAACACACACCGCACACACTCTCACACAGAGAAAGCGTGTAAACACCCAGCCATCTGGGAAGGCAAAGGAGGTGGCACTTCGTGATCCTCGATTAAGTGCAGCTACAAAGGGGTCACACCTACAGGTTTCTAATGACACCAGGAGGTGCCTTCCCTGGCATAACAGTAAGCGAGGAGAGGAGAAAGAAGCAGATGCACAGGCAGATCCTCTCCAGGGAGTGGAGGAGCCGCACTCCACAGTAACATCAACCCCAGGGGACATTTATTTGCCTGATTATTTTTCCATGACTGCAGGACTTCCAAAAATGTTCATGATGGGATGGTGTCATTGTTATACCTCAGCAAGGTAAACAAGCCCTTGCTGTACAGTGACTTTTCTGAGTTGCCTGGCAGGAGAGCTGGAGTCCTGAGTCCAGTGACAATAAAGAGCATAGGTGGCCATCCCCACCTCCTCTCTGGCACCGGGTTAGCTCCTCATGCCAAGCCCACTCCTGGAAATGGACCAACCGTCCAACATTAATCATTCACGCTCCAGATTCCTGCCCCAGCCACACCCGGTCTCTAGGCTTGACACTGACCCCAAGGACATCAAAGAAAGAAGAGACAGCATCTTGGCCACTTTCATGGGCCGAGACAGGTCCCCCAATGACATCTCACCCATCAGACGGGACAAGGGTCACAGTCAGAGTTCACTGAGACTCTGTTGGAGGCAACGTTCCTCCCAAGTACTCTTTACCTCTGTGGACACCTGGTAGCACAGGGATTGTCACAGGAAAGAGAGGCAAAGCCTGAGGGGGAACCACTGGCCTAGGGGACCCGCTCCTCCTTAACATTCAGGACACAAACCCAGGCTGGTGTGTCCCTGACCAGTGCCCCCGGTTCCCACACGCCCAGGGAGCATGCTGGGGTGCTGGGCTCAGGACACCATGTGCTGACTGCTCCGCATTGGCCAGCTGAGCTGAGAGACAGGTCTGTCCACCTTCCCCAGTTTCTCTCCCAGGTGGGGCAGGCAGGAAGCTGCCTCCCTGTCCCCATATCTGACAGCCAGTGCTGCTCCCACAGAAAGGCCAGTGCCTGAGGAATCCTATCAAATGGCCAGCAGAGAGTCACCCTGCGGGGAAAGAAGAGACTCAAAGCCTTTGCAGCGCCCAGTGGGCCTTGCCTGGGATTCTGGCAGTCAGTGGCCCGATGCTTGTCCCATGTCCTTCTCCTCTGTGAAGAGGGGTTTCAGCTTCCACCTGCCTGACCTTCTCAGCTTTTCAAACTGTGGGTGGCTCCAGGGTCCATGTGGAAGTTAAGAGGGGCGTTGTGCCACTCCCTGGTGAGTCGCCTTTGGTTCTGTTCAAGGTCCACCGTGACATTTTACGATGGGCAAGGAAGGAATTCCCCCGTTTGCATGGGCAGCTAGCTGAGTTAGATAGAAATATTACAGGCAGTCAGACAGGGCTGGGCCTCGAAGGAGCCCATGCAGAAGATGGGGTACCCCGCAACTGTGGGAGAGATAGGCACCTCTGCTGCGGGCCAGTCCTCAGGACAAAAGATGAAACAAATGCAGCCACGTACCTCCCTAGGGGTGGGCATCAGGGATAGTCTAAATAAGTATGAATCACCTTGAAAAAGCCAGGAAGAGTCCCTAACCCAACTCCCTACCGAATGAGCCCGTTCTACATTCACGCCTGCTTGCTGCCTGGCTCGCTTCCCCATTTGATCCTGATTTAATCAGTTCTACCTGAGCAGTTACGCTTGTGATCTTATTGGTTGACCAGTTCTGTCCTGCCTCAGGCCCACCTTGCGAGCGTCCATGTTTCCCACCTGAGACCTGCCTTGTGTCACGGATTTGCTCTATAAAAATCCCCCGAAAAGGCAGGATCCTTGGCAACCTGTTCTGTCTCTCTCTCAGACAGCTTTCTTTCCCCAGTAAATATATCCTGCTTTTAACCTCCGTTGTTCCTAAAATTCATTCTTTGGTTTTAGAGAACACGAACTTGGCCCAGGTAGGTTTCAGGTTGGGAGCTGCTTTTGCCTGTATCACTTTCTCTGTCCCAGCACTAGTCAGGATATTTCATTTTAGAATAAAAAATAATCAAGATCAAGGGCTGGCCAGATCAGTGTATAAAAGCAGGCGCAGGAACCGGGGTTCAATCCCGGCTTGTGCTAACCTGCCCCCAGGGGCACGCGGAGAATGCAACTGAGGCTGGGCTTGGTGGCACAAGCCTATAATCACAGCACTTGGGAGGCTGAAAGCAGGAGGATCACTACAAGTCCGATCCTTGTAGTGAGACCCTGTAGACCCTGTAGATCCTGTACTAAATACAGTTTAAAAAATAAAAAAAAAAAGAATAATCAAGATCAGACTTGTGATTAGTAAGATAACAGCCCCCCAGACTCCCATAGTCTGAAACCCCAGTCTGACTTCCGGCCTCCAGAACTACAATTCCCAGCCTGCAGACGTGGACAGTTCCAGGGGAAAAGGGCAATAGAGCTTGCAGGGAGAATGAAGCTTGTCTATGATGAAGTTGGTTTATAAATTGATTTTTCACAGTGCTGGGGACTGAACCACAGGGCACTGCCCCACTGAGCTCCATCCCCATCCTTTTTGTTTTATTTTGAGATGAGCTCTTGTTAAGTTGCCCAGAGTGGCCATAAAACTCTAGATCCTCCTGCCTCAGTGTCCTAAATAGTTCGGGTTGCAGGCCAACATCACCTCACCTGACCTCATCCGTGATTTTAAAGCTGGGAAAAAAATAAAAAATAAAAAATAAAGCTGGGAAAGTAGCCAGGTGGGGCTCAGTGAATCACAGGGTCTTCAAAAGTGGGAGAGGGAAAGAGCCCAAGTGGCACAAGAAAGAGTCCAACAGGCCTGTGGAGAAGGCAGGGCCTGCAGAGCACGCTGTGGAGCTAGCTTTCCTGTAGGCGGTGAGGTCCCAGGCGGCCCAAGGAAAGCTAGCAACTCTGCTTCGGTCTCCACAAAGGGGTGCAGCCCGGCCTCACGAAGCCCCTGCCCGACTTCTGACCTCTAGAACTACAAAATAATAAACGTGGAAGTTGGTCCCAGCAGGCTAGTAAACAAGAATGGGCCTCAGATCTTCCTGCACAGATGACCCGGATCCACAGGGCCTTGGGCACCGCCTGGGGCCCTTCTGAGTGAGTCACCCGTTTACTTAAGTTGTGAGGATGGGGGAGGGGCCTGCTGGTCGGGAAGGGCGGGTCTCAAGGACCAGGAGGCTGAGCTAGGGGCAACCAGTCCCTGCTGAGAAGAGAGCAGGAGGGCAGAGATCCCAGCCAGGGGTCGCCCCCGGGCACACACCCGGCTGGACAGGCAGCCCCAGGCCCTGGGCACCTATCCCCAGGAGCCTCTCCCTGCCTCCGCCTGGCTCTAGCTCCTGCACACTTGTCTATTTCCTGGCCAGCTTTGGCTCCCCATGTCCCCGGTATTCCTACCACCCCGGTATTCATATATTCCTTTGGGGGCAGTCAAGGTCAAGACAGGTCAACAAACAGCAGTCCCCTAGGAGCCCACAAGTGCCTAAGAGATACGTGGTGACACCTCCTGGGCCAGAGCTCACCTGAGAGAAAGGCTGGGAAATGAACGTCAGAGGAGTGACAAGGCCTGGCCTGGCCTGCTGGCCCGGGTCAGGGGCCCTGACGCCTCTTTTTCTCCATCTCTCTTCTTCTCTTTTTCCCCTGGCTCTGCTTTAATCTCAGATTCAGCGCGCCCCAACTCAGACCCAGAACCCAATGTTCCAAATGCAGGCGCAAAGTCTTGTGACCTTTGACCCCTCCCTGCCGACCCTCCCATCTGCCCTCCTCTGTCCCCCACACCTTGGTGCCTCTGGCAGCTGTGGTCACCTCAGTAGCTGAGGGTGCCCCCGCAGCTTTCTCCACCTGCCCCTGGCCTTCGGATGTGGTCAGCGGCGGGTGTGGGTGTTTTCTGGCATTTTGAGGGCAAACTGTGTTTTCTGCCCTTGACTGAGCTGCTCACCCCCACCCCAGCGTCACTGGGAGGCCAGGCAGAGATGTGGGACAGAAGGCGACAGGCACAGCCCTCGCGGTGCAGAGCCAGGCTCTGGGCAAGGCTTTATAGGCTCATTTCCTCCAAGTAAGAGATTTGGCTAAACTTCCTCCTTCCTGGTGAGATTGTTTAACGAGGCTGAGACCGAGCGGACCGAGACGCAGAGCCTGGGCCAGGCGGAGCTCCCAGCCCACCCGGAGCCCATGAGCGGCCCTGGGGTCTCTCTCCGGCTGCCGCCTCCAGAAGAGACACAGGGAACACTCAGCCCCTCCCTCCCAGAACCCCAAGGCTGGACGCGGCGCCAAGCAGCCGGGGCAGGATCCAGGGTGCCGGCTAGACCTTCTCGCCTGCTCCACCCAAGCAGGGAAGTAGCAGCCTGAGCCGTCAGGTACGTCTGTGCCAGCAGGGAAAGCGCCATACTGTGGGGTCATTTTTCTCATCTGTAAAATGGGACAGTGGTGTGAATATCCCCAGCCACTCTCCAGAGCTCTTACTCAGAGGCATCTGTAATAACAACCACCCAAACAGCGTGGAGAGATTTAGCAACTTGCCCGGGCAGTCTGGCTGCAGAGTTAGGGCCCCGACGAGGCCACACAGCCTGTGACAGCAAGTCCGTGGCTACAGGCAAGCGGCCTGGCTCCTGCTGGAGTGTGCTTTCAGGTGAGGCACTCCATGGACATGACTTAAGCATGTCCTGTATGTCAGGTAAACGGGGGCGCTACAGTTAAAGAGGGTAACAACCGGAACAAACACATTATTCAAACCAGAAAAAAAAAAAAAAAAAAAAAAAAAAAAAAAAACTTGCAAATTTTCAATAGTCTCTTTCTTCTTTTGTTCCTTCTCTCTGTCTTTCTTCTCTCTTTTTGAGACAGGGCCTTGCTATGGAGTTTAGAACAGCTCATGATGTAGCCCAGGCTGGCCTCAAACTGACAGTGAGATCCTCCTGCCTCAGCCTCTCGAGTGGTGGGATCACAGGCGCATTTCACCAACATGCAGCCTCAAAATAGCCACTTTCTTTTTAAAAAATTAATTTTATTGAGAAACAAATAGCAATGAGTTTCAAAACTGATTAATAGAACAGCTTCAATAACTAATACATTGCATATTGTTGTCTCCGTAGTGGTTCAAATAGCCATTTTCAAAGTAGTTCTTGTTTGTTATGGGTGCTGTGGGGCTGGCCTGGGAAGCAGGGCCAAGACCTCTCCAAGGAGGAGACTCACGTGTGACGGCATGCGGGGACCTCAGGGGGCAAGGCAGCGATGTGCTGGGCGTGGTGGAGAGAGGCAGGAAGGGGCAGGGGTCCCCAGACCAGAGAAGCAAGGAGCCGGCCGGCTGGCGGTGAGATCTGAAAGCATTGTGCAGGCCTTGCGCAGCCACGGAAGTCTGGCTTTGCCCAGTGTCCTCCAGGGCCACCGTCTATGTGCATGAATGGTGGTACCTGCCGGCCAGGGACCTGTGTCTCACTGTGGCTGTTGTTCACACGGCTCTTCCAGAGTTCGACTCCCTGCTTGATGGGGGTCCAACTGCTCCGCTGGTAGGGGCGCAAGCCTAGCTTCCTTGCTGACGCAGGAGACCAGTCATCTCTGGCTGGTACAAACCCCTTGCCTTTGGAGGCTCTGGAAGACAAAGTGAGAGCTCTGAGGTTTGCTCCCCAAGAGCACAGCCTGAGGAGACAAAGTTGTAGGGTGAGCGCCGTCATCTTTGGGGTCCAAATCCAGGCTCCGCCTTCTCCCACTGTGTCCTTGGGCCCATCTTCTCATCTTTGGACTTGCCTGAGCCTCTCTTATCTCAAAAGGAAGAGGGCATTACACCTCCCGGGACTTTGACAGAAGTAAATTTTGAAAAAGACAGTGTATATGAAGCACCTATACCATGAAGCACAGAGTAGGTGCAGAATATAGGACAGCATAGTCATCAAAGCTGAGTGCCTACTATGTGCCAGGCCCTGCGCAAGGTCCTGGGCTTCTGGAAGTGATGGGCGGGGTCTCAGGAAGCACACAGGATGTGAGGTGAAACAGTCACATGGACCACCACACTAAAGGGAGTGGGGGTGTGAGGTCCTGTGTGATGGACACAATTGAGTCAGTGACAGGTGACAGGCACAGAGCCCTGACTCCGCACCTAAAATATTGTGGAGAGCTTTACTGAGACTGGGGCATTTATGCAGCAGAATTGCAAGGCAGGCCTTATTAGCCCCATTTGACACAGGAATCACTGAGGCCCGGGGTGGGCGGGGGGGGCTGGGAATGGTGGAGGGACTTGGGGCCATGCAGTATAGCCCCAGAAACGTCTCAGGGACTGCATCCCACAAAGCACAGGGGACTCCAGGAGATACAGCCCAGGGGGACAAAAAAAATCACAGAAGCAGAGGCTGGAGGTGGGAACCTGAAGTGAGGCAGGGCAGAGTGGGCTGGATGCAAGCACAGGGCCAAAGAGGGTGGCCCTGTGGTCGGGCTTGTCTCCGCTGGCACCAGTGTCAGGAGCGTGGCTTCTAGGCTGGCCTAACGCCAACCAGGAGTTGGCCTGAGCTCTGGGCCCCCCAGGCCTGCGCAGGCCTCAAGACAGCAGAGGTGGAGCTTGAACGTAATGGGTGACTGCCTCGCACGTGGGGCTATGGCTTCAAATGGAGAAACCCACGTGCATCAGGTAGGGCTCTTCCTGAAAGAAAACACCAGTGGGGCGCCCGCTGCCTAGGAGGGAGCAGTCCAGTTTCGAAGCAAATGCTTGGGAAAATTGAAGGACCCAGGTCTCCCCCTTGGCTGAATCATAATGCTTGTCAGAATCATTGCCATGCTCAGGATTGTTTGGTGGTCCACACCTAAACCCCAGCCCTCAGGAGGCTGAGGCAGGAGGATGAGTTTGCGTCCAGGCTGAGATACATGGTAAATTCAAGGTGAAACTGAACTACATAGCCAGACCTTGCTTCAAAACATTGTTGTTTCCTTCAGTGAGACCCTCTGGATTCTATGCCTTCCTAGACAAAATTTGCTTTCATTGTACAGGCCGCCATTTTGGTTAACCAGAGGCCAAAATCCAGCGACCTCTGACAGAAAGAGATAGCATTGCCCCCCAGCTGGGTCTTTTCTTCATGTTCCACTCGCTGAAGCGATGCAGATGGGCACCAAGGAATGAGCCTGGAGGCTCCGGGCAGCCCCACGCCCATCCAGTCACCTGTCTCATGACACAGCCAGGCTCTCAGCAAAGGGAATTCAGGGGACACCATTGGGCTTCTGGGGCTAACAGGCCTGCAGGGTCCATGGGGTGTGAGGTGGGAACAGGCCCTGAGTGTGCCCCTTTCCCATTCAGACAACACCCACTTCTCTCAGCTCAGAGGGGCCTGGGAAGAAGCACAGAGGGCACACGGGGCCTGTCCAGGGGAGCGGCACACGGGGGCCTACTTCAGTAATGACTGCTGTCACTTCCCCTGCACCAGTGCTGTGGTAGATTCATCTCTGCACTTTTCACTAAATTAGGGATTATCGTGTGTGTGTACAGCCTAGGACTACGGGAGGCTAGCGGAGGCCAGCAGTCCCATGGCAAAATCCACCTGGGACACCAAAACCCCGCAGGGACCAACCCATCATAGAGACTCCCCGTTGTGAGTCCAGGAAGGCCAGTGAAAGGCCACAGGTGCGCACAGGACCAGGACAGCCATTTCTCAGCCTCCTGGGTGCTGGCACCGAGCAAGGTCCCTTTAGGCAGTGGGCTTCGTCAGGTCACCTGAGAGGAAAGTCTTCCTAAAACCCGTGAAAAGAAAGAGGACAGGCAGCTGCCCATGCCAAGAGAAGAGGGGCCCCTGGGGCAGCCCCAGAGCAAGGCACTGGCTGCTGAGGAGGAGGAAGATGGGCACAGAGCCGTAGAAACACTGTCATCACCCTGGAAGCCTGCTTTCCCCATCACTGCAGCGCAGCCAAAGCCAGCTGAACTGTAGGCGGCTCCCAACCACCTAGAGCCAAGGGCACAGCCTTAGGCTGCTGTGGCCCCCAGCTGTTTTTATAAATAAAGTTTTATTGGAACGCATGCCCATGGAGTCACCTACACGCTGCCTCCTGCTGCGTTGCCCCTCCAGTGGCAGAGCTGAGTCACTGACGGAGGCTCCAAGAACCCAAACTATTTATGGTCCAGCCCGTCACAGAGCACTACCAGTCTGGGCTCCAGGCCATGGAGGAGGTGGCCAGGGGTGGGGGGTTCCAGAGAGAGACCCCTGGGCTTACCCCCCCCCACCTCTCTTCTTCCAACTCCTAGCAGTACAGCCTGCCCCTCTGTGCCTGTTTCCCTAGCTGCCTCCGCAAGCTGTCTGAAGGATCCAACTGGTTAATCTGGAAGAGTCTCAGAGAAGTCCCGGCACCAGGCATGTGTTGCCTTGGTCTGAGAAATGGCCCTGTCAGGGTTGGGGAGTGAACGCCTCAGTGACCGCCTTTACCTGCTCCAGCCTTGCATTTCCCGTTGTAGGGCTCTGCGTGGCCCACTCGGGCCGCCATCAGTCAGAGTTGCAGAAAACCTTTAAAACCAATGAATAAAATTAGAATAGGCCATAATGGAAATAATGGGCTTGTTTCCTTCGAAAATAAATGTCACCGGAACGCACTGCCCACACCGCCAGCCTTATTGTTTATGGATTCCCTTGCTGTTTATCTCCCTCTGCATAGCTTATGTGATCAGTAATTGCCTGTAAATACTGGGGATTTCCAAGAAGGACCATTTAGGGAACGAAAGGGGAACCCTAGTTTTGTTGACGAGCTCACCTAGGCCAAGGCCACCATCACGGGGAGTTGGGATGGCTTTTGGGGGACAACTGGAAGCTCAGGCATAGGGCAGCTGGGGCTAGGGTGTCACACTGCTCCCACAGTCCCCACAGCGCCTGACGCTCAGGCGAGCACGTGTGTGTGTGTGTGTGTGTGTGTGTGTGTGTGAGCGCGCGCGTGCAGGCACGTGTACCTGTCCACACGTGTGTCCCCCTCAGCCTCAGGGCTGTTTCCTTTACATTCTGATCATGTCTCTCTCCTGAGTCTGTCGCCCCTGTCCTGTCCCTGCCTCTGTCGGCTTCCCAGTGCCCACGTCCACGCAAGGCCAAGGCAGTCCCTCGCCGTGAGCCCGGTCCACACAGCTTCCAGCAGCAGTAGGCAGAACAGAAGGCGGCTGCAGGGCACTCGGTGGGCCCTGCCTTGGGGAGCGTGCTCAGTCTGCACACTGCCTGGGAAAGACAGGCCAAGCGCAGCACTGGACCGTCCTCAGAGCCAGGGGTGGCCCAAGTCTGGCCGCACCCCGGGGACACAGTGGTGCTGGTGCAAACGTTGGCTGCGGAGTGAGCAAGCAGCCCTTGATTCCCTCCCTCCCAAGCTCCTTCTGTTGCACAATCCGAGATCAGAAAGCCCAGACAGGAAGAGGGAGGGATTGTTTCCAGGTTTTAGATGTACAGCGATCCAGCAGGACTCGCATTCAAAGCCCTGCCCTTAGAACAGAGAAAAGGCTCTAGTTTTATACACTTGACTGAGGGAGTCGGTCTTTAGGGTACAGAAGCAAGACAAAGCAGTTAATAACTCAGCCTTAGACCCCCTTGGAGCAAGGTGATGTACCCGTGCTCTGTGCGCAGGACAGAGCTGCCAATCCTACCTGTCCAAGAATATGAAGCTAAGCTACAGGGGAGGAAGGACTTCCAAGGGGATTGCAGGCTAAGTCCTGGGAGCTATCCCCAGCCGTGAGCCACGCCCTTCTAACAGGGTCAGCAGCACACCCAGGAAGAAGGAGAAACAGGAGAGGGAGGGAGGGAGGAAGAAGTAGGGAGAGAATGAGAGAGGGAGGAAAGA